TTGGTCACTCCATTCAGAGCTCCCCCTCCCCACCCCTCCCACAGGTCACAGCCCCGGGCGTCCCCACCCCTGCTTCCCAAACAAGGCTCAAGGTGGACAAGCAGACCATGGATGTTGGAATTCGAGACTTGTACCTTAAACACTGTATACGTGTTGACCCACAAACTCCCCTTTATGGATTCTGTTGCAAATAGGGCATTATGGACACGGGTCTTCCCTTCGACAAGCTGGGATTGAGCTGCCCACAGTAGGTGATGGGTGCACCTGCAGGCTGGGATGGGTGCTGCGCTCTTTTCTCCCAGACAGGGGTGCTGTCACCCTTTCCTCCAGGGGACCTCCGCTTCCTCACGTTCTCCCCAGGGCTGCTGGTCCCCAGACCAGACACCTGCCTGTCTGAGGGTGACCAGCGCTACCTCCATAGAGTTTTTTTTTTTTTGCCAGAGTCCTTACCTGGTAGCTCCGCTTCTCTGACCCGCCCCCCCGTGCCTGTCCCCACTTGGACTTGCATGCGTGCGGTCTCTCCCTGTGGAACCCAGTGACTTGGAGCGTGGTTTGGACCTGAGTCCGCTGAAACCTTTCTCTGGCCTTGGGTTGTGAGCAATGCATTGCCCTTTGGGGTGTGTCTTCCAGCTTTCTGCATTTCCCTGGTTTCTGTGTGGGCCACAGGAGGAACCAGCCCTGTCCTGTCTGGGGTCAGGCTGAGGTGTCCCAGCAGGAACAGGGGTCTCGGCCCCGAGATTGTGCCCATAATTCCTAAAGTGGCCTCTCTGATTACGTCTGATCTGTAACCCCCAGGCATTTCAATATCGAATAAGGGAAATTCTGTGTCCAATAAACACAGAAGGAAACGAGTTCCCTTTGAAAATAGGGGGGCAGACACAAAGGCCCCTATTGCGTGATTCCACGTACAGGAAACACCCAGGAAAGGAACAGAGAGAGAAAGCAGCTTAGGGGTCGCCAGGGGCTGGGCTCGGGGAGAAATGGGCAGGGAGGCCTTCTGGTTCAGGGTGTCCTTTGCGGAAGCAGATATTGTGCAGCAATGTTCTGGGGTGCGGTGGCACAGCATTGGGAATATAATTAATGCTCCAGACTTGTCCAACAGAAAACAATTAATTTTATTTAAAATAAATAATAAACAGCATAGAGGATAAGGAAAGATAATATAACAGTTAATATGTACCAGAGAGAAAGAACACAGGGGGAGGGGATGAAACAATCTGGCGGGACCTCAGGGTCGGGTGATGGAAATAAGGGTAATTGTACAAGGGGCTCTCCCCACGAGGATGTGGGCTCTGGCTGTGGTTCTGGGAGCCCTGCAGGAACAGGAGGATGGGCAGGGCCAGATGCAAGAGCAGAGCCAGATACAAGAGCAGGGACAGGGGCCGGATCCACGGTAGGAGCTGGGTCATGGGCAAGTACAGGAGCACAGGCAGGGCCAAGGGAAGGGCTCACGGCCCTGGAAAGCAGGGGAAGGGGCATCGGCTCTGGCAGGGGCAGGGGCAGGAACGGGGACACAGGCAGGGGAAAGGGCATTGGCTCTGGCAGGGGTACGGACAGGGACACAGGTAGAGGAACGGACAGGTGCAGGGGCAGGAGGTGGGTCATGGGCAGGAATGGGTGCACATGCAGGGGCAGGGAAACGGGTAGGGAAAGGGGAAGGAGCTGGGTCAGAGGCAAGCACCGGAGCACAGGGAGGGGCAGGGGAATGGACAGGTGCAGGGGCAGAGGCAGGGACAGGGGCAAGAACAGGAGCAGGGGCAGGGGCAGGGGAAGGGGCAGGATCCAGGGCAGGAGCTGGATCAGGGGCAAGAACAGGTGCACACGTCGGGGAAGGGGCAGGGGCAGGGGCAGAACCCGGGTCAGGGGCAAGAATCGGAGCACAGGCAGGGGCAAGGGAAGGGGCAAGATCCAGGCCAGGAGCTGGGTCAGGATCCGGAGCAGGGGCAAGAACAGGTGCACAGGCAGGTGCTGGGGAAGTGGCAGCTGCAGGGGCATGAGTAGGGGCAAGGGAAGGGCCATCGGCTCTAGCAGGGGCACGGGCAGGGGTAGGGACATGAGTGGCGGCAAGATTTGGGTCAGAGGCGAAAACAGGGACAAAGGCATGGACAGGGGAAGGGCCAGGACTTGGGTCAGGGGCCAGAACAGGAGCACAAGCAGGGGAAGGGGAAGGGGCAGGTGCAAGGGGAGGGACAGGGTCTGCAGCAATGGCACATACAGGAACCAAGACAGCATCTGGGTCAGGGGCAGGGACAGGGGCACTGGCAGGGGTAGGGACGGGTCAGGATCCAGGGCAGGAGCCGGGTCTGGGGAAGGAGCAGGGCCACAATTCGGGGCAGGCGCAGGGGCACTGGCTCTGGCAGGAACAGTGGCAGGAACAGGGGCAGGCTCTCCTGGCACAAGTTCTCCAGCAGGCCCTTCCTGGTCGGCGTCAGGCTCTCCGTGGGCAGGTGCCGGGTCACCTGCCGGCTCCTGGTCTCCTGCTGAAGCCTCTGCAGGAACCACCCCTCCCTGCAGAGCTGCTGATGGAGTTGGAGCCAGCTCTAGCTCCTCAGGTGGTGGAACATCTGTGAGAGGAGAAAAGCTCACCCCCGTGCCTGCTCTCCGTGGGTATTTGCAAGACAGAGCCCAGCCCAGAGCCTCCCAGCGAAGCCGCAGCCAGGAAGGAGCCCTCCCCGGGACGTCTCCCCGACTGCAGTCCACCGCTGGGTGCTCTGCACACAGTCTTTGCTCCTGGCCCCACATCAGCCTCTCGGGGCTCCTCCCTGTGGGGCCAGCCCCGACCCGTCCCCACACACCAACAGGCACCCCGCCCCAGGCTTCTCAGCCTCGAGCTTGGACTCCGTGGGCTCCATTCCTGGAGCACAATCCAGTCAATGACCACCAGGGACAGTGGTCTGGGTGGTGTCGGAGGCCTTCCCCCGCAATCCCCAGCACCTGCTCCTGAGGACCCCTGTGGGGTCACGCCCCAGGTCCCGGAAATGAAACGGCTGTCCGCCAGCCTCCTCCCGATGTCATCCGTGGTCTGCAAAGACAGGGATGGGTAGCCGGCCCAGAGGCATCACAGCCCTGCCCAGCCAGCCTCCCTGTCCCCCTGCTCAGTACCCCTCCTGCTCCCAGATCAGACACACCTGTGCGTGCCCAGCCCTGCACGCGGTACAGTGACCCCCGCTCCAGGGCAATTGGGATAAACCCAGGGCAGAAGCCCGCATCCGCACACACCCCGTCCCACCCAGCCACCCTTGACCTTGAACAAGACCTGCCCACTGGGTATCTGACCCCTCATCAGCCTGCTTTTGAATGGGGTTGGCCCACCCTACATGACCCCTCTTCACAGACACACACACACACACACAGACACACACACGGGTGGGGACCTGGGGCTGCACAGGTGGATTAGACCCTGTGGGGCTGGGTGGCCGGCTCTGGGACTCCTGGTGTCACCTTGTGGTCTTTCCGACCAAACGGCCAGAGGCGGTGCGGAGCCCTGACAGGACATATTGTGGAGACAGCATTTGCTGGGCGCGCTTTTGCTTCCGTCGGCAACCTCCGGATCTGGGAAGGCAGCATGTGAACATCTTGGTTTGACTATCTCCAATGTAATGAGCTGGGCTGGGGGCTGTCTCTGGAATGTGGGTTCCTGGTTACCTGGGTTCCAAATTCTGATGGGCTCTGTTGTCAGGGAAGTGAGGTCACCATGGCCGGGGTCCCCTCACCCAACTTCCTCCTCAGACAAGAGCCCCACCCGCGAGGGCCCCTCCCCCAGCTGTTCAATGCTGACCCCCCATGCCCCATCTATACAGTGACACCCTCACACCCCACCCCACCCACAGCCCACGCAAGGCCTGGGTGCAGCCCTTGTGTGAGGACACAGAGCTGGGTTCAGCGTGGGCTCCTGCGCGTGCCCAGGGCTGTGACCCTCGACAGACCCTGTGCAGGCCCTTCTGCACTTGGGGTTTGGCCCCTCGACATGCTTCACTTAGCTGCTGAGGCAGAAATGCAGTCCTGTGCTGAGCCCTTCCTCCCAGCCTGCTGTGGCCTCGCCTGCTGTGGCCTCGGTGTGGCCGTGAGACGAGCAGGACGTGGCCGCCCTCGGTGGGAGGGGGACAATGGCAGCAGAGCCGGCGCGAACCAGTCATGGCCAGCCACCCCCCAAGGCGGGCGCAAGCTGCGGAGACCCCCGCCGCCCAGCAGGGCCAGCCTGCGCCACCTGACCCCACGCTGCCCAGACGGGAAAGCTAAGTCCATTCGTGTCGGTTCATAGCACAGTGATCCTGTGGGTAGTCCTTACGTGGCAGTAGCTGACTGATGCCGTTCTACTGTGTTCTCCTCGGGTGGCCCTAACCGCACCAGCGAATTGCATCGCCAACTACATACTGGTGACTCCACGTGTCCGGCTCCCACATCTCTCTGTCCTCTGAACTCCAGCCCCCCACGTGGCATCTCCGTTTGGGGGTCCTGGGCTCCAAGCTCAGCCCCCGAGCCTGCCCGGGGCTCCCTGTCCTCGGACTGAACCTCCCTCCACGGCCTGTGCTCTCCCCCCCTCACCCTTCCCTCCGCTTCCACCACTCTGGGGTTTTTCACAAGTGGTCTCCTCTTCCGCGGAAGCCCACCCAACTTCCCTAACTACCTCTGTGCCTCAGCTCTCTTCCGAATGTCCCTTCCTCCGAGAAGCCCTCCCTGACCCCTCCTGCCCCACCCGGCGTGAGTCAGACCTGCCGTTGTTCTGCACTCTCTCCAGACACTTTTCCCCGAGTCTGCGGTCGTGTG